ACACAAAACAAAGCAAAAAAGGTCATGAATTTCTGACACTGATATTGTCTATTTGTTGAAAAGAATTATGGAAATGTCAGTGAATTGTAGAACAACATGCAACGCACTACTGCTCGCAGAGACTTCATAAACAAATCAATATGTAGACTGAGGCATCCTATCAGGCTATTGTTTTATTTTTGCAACAGCTACACGCTGATTCTAGTTTCATGTTTTAAAATACAGACTGTTAAAATGTTTAACAGTCTGTCTGATGTGACTTTATGAACACTCACTGAAGACTAAAGATATACTTTTCATCCCTTCCCAGCAGTGGCGCCTGCAGAATTTTTTTTCAGGGGGGCCATGGGGGTGGGGCACTAAAAAACCAGGGGTGGCACACCAAAACTAATAACCATAACAGAATTGTTATGATGTGGTTGTAAAARGGACAATTTAWAAAKTATGGCAATATAAAGCTATGGATGTGCCAACAGATGTTTAATTTGTAATTTTTACGGATATTATTACTGATTTTGTGACATTCAGAGACAAAAAAATAAAACAAGAAACCGAACTATCTGCACTTCTGTAACAGCCATTTTCTAACTTGTCCTGTATCTTTACACATGGAGTACCATGTATTTTCTATATATTCTTACATATTTCAGTGGCATCAGAAGTATTTGTAATGTTGGGGGTCCCACTGGTGGGGGGTCTGGGGGTCCTCCCCCAGAAAATTTTGAAATAAGTAAATGCCATTTCCTGCATTCTGGAGGATATTAACAGGTTATTAAACAGACTTTTGAGAAACAACAATGCATTTGAAAACACTTGTGACTATTTTATAAATCAAGTGGAATGAAACTGGAATGAAACAACACTGATATTTTATGGTAAATGTGACGTTCAAATTAATTTAATTTTAAATGTGATGGGGAAACTTCCCTTCAAAAATGACTGCTGTGATGTCTGTCATTTTATTTAAAAATGTCAAAAATATATACTTCAATGACTTTTACAAGGAACAAGCTTTTTAAATTTTAAAGKCATCACCTCTTCTATGAATGATAAAAGTTTTATTTGCTTGTTGATGTTTACTTTTGTGAAGAAAACCTGTAATTATAAAAACCCAAAACTGGAAATAAAGACTAAAACAAGCACAATTACAAACTACATCTACTGTAGTGTTATCCCAAATTATTAGGTTATTTGCTTTTTATGTCATATAATAAATATGATTTTCGTCTGTGAGAGAAAACTGGAGTACCTGGAGAAAACCCACTCATGCACAGGGAGAACATGTAAACACAGAACAGAAAGTTGATCTAGAACCTTCTTCCATAGAGGCAATATGTTGCTCTACCACTGTGCCACTGTACTGCCTAATTTTATATTTATTTAAATTTTTTAATTAATATTTGATTAAAAATTTACCTATGAATAATACCTCCCGAAAACTTCCATCTTTGTTTGAGAACATTGGTTTTAGA